ACCCCACCTGGAGGCCCCTCGAAGGGGAAAGGAGTGGGGTAGAGCTCAGAGGCATTTGCCCAGGGCTGGGGATGGGGTTCCTGTCGGGGGAGGTGCAGTGCCAGAGTCTGGGCACTCCCCTCTGCTGGATGCCTGGGGACAGCATTTTTCAGCTCCTCCAGGGGGTGGGACTCTTGGCTACGTGGTGTCTAGGGAAGCAGAGAAACTGGACCACGCAAGAGGGGAAGGGCACACACACCAACACGCTCACACTCCCGCCTCCACGCAGAACCTTGCTCACCATAGAGCCAGCTCCCCCAGAAGGGGTGCGCTCCCCGGGACTGTTGGTGCGAGCTAGAAATCTGAGCAGCTTCGCAGCTGCTCACACTGACGGAAGAGCCAGCGTCCAGGGGTTCTTCTCATGATCTGGGGTAGGAGGGTCCTAGTCCCCAGATTGGGACTTGACCCGCAGCAGCCTGGAGACCCGTGGCACCTCTTGCCCAGCCAGCACCGGGCTCCCTCTGCAGCGGTGCCAGCAGGCGCCCACGCTACCACTCGGGCCGCAGTGCCTCCTGATACTCTGATACTCTCGGCCCAGTTTCCCTGGCCCCAGGCCCATGGAGGTGAATGCACACCCTGACCTTTCCCCAAAGCTACTTCTGAGCTGCTCAAATAGGCAATCATTTTTTATGATGTAATTTATAATGTATGCAGGTTGTCTTCATACATATGGTGTTGCTTTTGTGTGTCAAGGTTTCAGGTGCTTTATTACTCAGACGGTGTGATTTGCATTCATGTGCGGTTACAAAGATCATATTTCTCCAGTTTGCACCATAAGGGCCCTAAATGAAGATGAATGGTGCCTCCCTTCATGGGGACCGAGGTTCCCCCCTAAATCCCAGAGCCCGGTAACCCAGAGCCCCAGCGCCAAGCTTGGGGGAAGGAGGCCCTGGCACACCAGAGGGTCCAAGCAGGCCACCTGCTCGGGCTGTGTGCATCTGAACAGAGGCCCGGGGTCTCCGGGGACAGAAATAGGGGCACATACATAGGAGCCCTCTTCCGAAGGAGGCCATTCGGCTGGCCACGTGAACACCCAAGTCTCCCACAGGTGAGAAGAGAGGATGCTGATGAGTCTGGGCAGGACCTCACCAGCCAGTCACTTCCGACCACCGCAGGGAGCTGGGAAGGCCCCACGGCCAGAACCAGGGGCTGACCAGGTCCCGAGGCCCACAGTGTCCCTTCTGGTTCCTGCACACCCGGAATCCCCTGCCAAGGGGGTTGGCGCAGCTCCGCTTGGGACTGTCCCAGGGCTGGAGGGAGCAGCCGCCACCCAGCCCTTCTGCTAGGCCTGCCCTACACAGCTGAAAAGATGAAGCTAATTACGCCAGAACAAACAGACGCAGGACGGAGGGGGACACTGACCCTGCGAGAAAGGGCATCGTGGAATGCAGGTGCTCGTGTCAGCTACACATGGAGCGGGGCAGCCTGGCGCGCAGACAGCCAGATTCCAATCCGATGGTCCTCCGAGGTAAACACGGTTGCGAAGGCCCCCACCAGCTCCATTTAGCTGAAAAGGTCCCGAGAAAGATCCTCCCATGGGGCTGACGACTAGGAGGCGAAAGTTGGACGCAGAAAATGCCCTAAGTCTCCAAAACTCCAGCCATGATTGGGGTTGGGGAAGGTCCAAGCACTGATGGCCCAGGCCACTCACTGCAAGGGGCACTCCCAGCCTCTTCGGAGCTGGGGGAGGAGGTTGCTTGACACCTAAGACCAATCTAAAGAGGGCCCTGCTGGGGAACTAGAGATGAGGCTGCTCAGGGAACTAGGGCAGGGGGGTCGCCTGGTCAAGTAGCTGTTCCTGGGGGAGGGGAGAGGTGCTCAAACCCCTGTTTGGATTGGTAAACATGGGTGGGAGCAGCCCAGAGGGCCCTATGCACGGTGGGAGTGGGGGGCCCAGGTCCATGGCCTTCCCAAGCGTAATTATTTGATCTGCAGATGTAAGTGGAATTTATTGTAACAACAAATATAGTGATGTCAAAACCCAACCTTGGATTAAAGCCGGCAGCCAAAGGGGAAGTGTATTAATTTCCAACAGCATCTCAGGCCAGAGCCTATTAGAACAAGCTATTCTTCAGGCCCCCCCATCAGAATTAATCATTGGGAGTTAATTTGAAGCTCAGACAAGTTGCTGTTAATTTAGTGCAGGGAGGACGGGATGGAATAAAAAGCTGAGGTGCTGGCCGAGCCTCGTGGGTCTCATTAATCAGCCAGCTGAGACGGCCTGGCTTGATTACAATTTGCAAAAAAATTCATTAGGGCCCGGGCGATTGACAATTTTTCTCTCTGCCTGTGATGTGACTCATTAGGCAGCCAAATGAAAGCCATGATGACGGCCATGATGACAGCGGCCATCAAGTGCCGCTTGTTTATCTTCCTCCCCTTGGCCTGTCTCTCGGCCTGGCCTCCTCCGGGGGCTCTCCAGGGCACCCCAGGGGTCATGGATTTGGGAGGAGGGTGACGTGTGGAGACGGCAGGAGGGCCTGGAGCCCCTGGCCCTCTGCTCCACCTGCTTTCAAAGGGCAAGGATCATGCATCTGGGGGAGGGGGGAGGACTGGGCCCTGGGGTGGGCTCCCTGAAGGCGGCCCCCCAATTCCTTGGGAGTTTCTCTTTCCCTCAGAGGTGTACAGCCAAAGCTTCAGGTCTCTTCGTGCCTCCCTCCCTGCCAGGACTTTTGGAGGAGGGAAGGGGCTACACCTGTCATGGCAGAAGTGTATATGGGGGCACTCCAGGATCTGCAGGGGTGCCCCGCTCTTAATATGCAGACCCATCAGGGAGGGTGCAGCTCCCCAGGTCCTACAGTGGGAACTCTGGGCCACGTGCCAGTTCAGCTGGGGGTGCATATCCGGCCTGGGACTGGCTGACCCAGGGGGGGAGGGTTTGAGGGGGGTCCAGTGGGGCTGGTGTCTCCACCTTGGCAGCAGCCCTATGGCCAGTAGAGACCCGGTATATGATGGAGCAGAGGACGCCAACCGGCTATGCGGTGTGCTCAGGGACCAGGCCTCGCCAATCTTGCTCCAGGGCAGGAAATGACCACCTGCAGGCCTCAGGGAGCTGGGTGGGGGACAGCAAGGAGCCCTCGTGGCTCTCCGCACCCCCCAGAGTTGGCCGAGGCCCTCTGAGGATCGGCCAGTCCACTTTATTGTGCTCTAAACCCAAGCCTGAGCCATTGACCACCATGGAGAATCTTGGAAACGCAGTGGGAAACGGAGACTCGGTTGCGCCTGGCCTTCACTTTGCACCTTAAATTCGGCGCGGAGCCTCGGTGCCCATGCCCCTCCGCCGCGGGAGATGGCGTGCTGTAAGCAGTATAAATCAAGTCAATGTTACTATTGACCCACGGAGACGCGTTTCCCGGTCTTGAGCCGAGGACCTCGCTGGGTGCTGGCGATACCGCTTGGAAACCCGCTCCGGGCCTCCATTGCGGAGGCCGCTCTCCCCTCTAGACTGCTGGTGTGGAGACGGCCAGGGCTCCGGCGCCGGGCGCTCACCGCTCACCCTCGCGCGCCTGCTCCACGCCCCTGGGTCACCGCGTCCCAATCTAATGGGCCTGGAGGCTCGAAGCTGGTCGGGCGCTTCCGGGTCCGGAAAAGAGCCGGCGGAATGGGCCGGGCTCGGGGCGCGGTACCCGAGGTGGCCGGGGTGGGATTGGGGATGCAGGCACGCCCCTCTCGGCCCTGCTGGCCGCCAGCTCTTAGGTACCCCCACGGACCAGACCCAACCGGCCTGCGTTCCTCGCTCCTTCCCCTTTTGTGCCGCAGGTCGGCCCCAGCGCCCTCGGGGTGGGGCGGTGGTCGGGTCCCGCCCCCGCGCACCCCGCCCGCCCGGAGAGGGAGGTGCCGGCCCGCGGGCGCTCGAAGCCCGCTCCGCCTCCTCCTGCAAGCTGAGCGCCGCCCGGAAGACCAGCGCGGCGGGTAGGGTTTCTGCTCCTGTCGGAGGAGAACGCCCGAGCCTGATTTACCGGCGCTCGGCCCTGTCGGGCGAGCGAACACCGCTTCTTTTCGGGTCGGGCATCTTTGTAAGGAAACGCGGTTCCTCCCTGGATGTAATCGACTTAGAACATCAGGAGTTTGTGCAAAGCCCCCAGTACCCCCAAACACTCGCTCTCCCTCCTCTGGCCGCCCACCTCCTCTTCTGGCCAGTCTGCCAGCCCCCTAGGTATGGAATAGGCTGTGCAAACAGGGGAGGGGGGGGGGTGTTAGATTTCTAAGGTGAAAATTCGGTTTTCTTGAATTTATTGCCCAATTGGAGCGCTTGCTCCAACTGAAAACCCGGTAAGGCACCGTGTGGCTCGCTTGCAGCCAGTCAGCACTGGCCAGGGGACGTTTGTCCGGTACTGGTCCCAGGCCAGCTGCCAGCCGCACGCTGTGGGTGCCCCCAAACAGTCAAGTCTGGACACACTCAGGAGACCCAGGCATATTGGTCTTTTGTTTCCCCCCTCTCTCTTTCCTTTTTATTATTCACAAGACTGAGATTGTTTAAATGTCATAACTTATAAGAAAATAAGCTACATTGAAATAAATTAAACACAACGGAGACGTGCTTCAGACATGGCTCAGGTAGGATATGCGACCCCCGGAAAGAAAGCCAGGCAAAACCAAAGCAAAGCAAATTCCCAGACGCCCCCAAACGCCTGCTTCTCAGTCAACTAAAAAAGCCAGAACAGAAACAAAAATAAGTGTCAACCCCAGTGTGTGCTCTCGCATGTCATGTTTACCTTTGGAAAAGTATGGACAGGTGGGTGGCTGCTATGGGTGGCGGATTACAGCAGAGGTTTTGTTTTCTTCTGGAATGTGAGTGGAGAATATTACTGGGTGGTTTGGTCCTATATAACTTTCAAAATACTGCAGCTGAGATCCAGTCTATATAGATATCTATGTACAAAGCAGGGTAGTATAATAAATATTTAGTGTGTCTTCCGCGGTAGCTGTCGCCCCTTCGAAAGCAGTCTTTGAAGCCTGTGTAATGAATAGACTCTCACTTTACTTGGGGTGTCCACAGTCGGGGTGCTTCCCATGAGGCACAGCCCACCCGGGGTTCCCTCCAGCGGGGGCCTGTGGTGTTCCTGCGGAGGCCAGGCCCTGGCGCTCCCTGGGCCCTCAGGGCCGGGCCTGCTCCAGCTGCTGGTGCTGACTTCTAATCGCGAACCTGCTGACGTGGACGGGGATGGGGACCACGATCTTGGGGTTCCGGGAGGGCTCCCCTGTCTTGGAGTTGGCATTGCCGGCCTTCACACGTTTCCACTTAGCCCTGCGGTTCTGGAACCAGATTTTCACCTGCACCTCGCTGAGTTTGAGGGCGTGGGCGATCTGCGAGCGCTCGGTCAGCGACAGGTACTTTTTGCAGTGGAACTCCTTCTCCAGCTCCAGCAGCTGCTCGCTGGTGAAGGCAGTCCGCCGCCGCCGGTTCTTGCCCGTGGACGTGGTGCTGCCCGAGGCGCCGCCGCTGGGCGGGGGCTCCTCCAGCGCGTGGCTGGGGTCTTCCTCCTTGTGAGCCGCCTGGCCGGGCAGATTGTCATCCGAGCTGTAGTCCAGATCGCTCTCCAGCGAGAAGCTCTCCTCCTTGCCCTTCGGGTCGTCTTCCACCTTTGACTCGTCTTTCCCTTGCCCTCGGACAGCCCCGGCTGAAAGCAAAACCAAACGGGGTTTTATTACATTTCGCACACCGGCCTTCCTCTCCCCTTCCCGCCGTCACTCGGGCATTTCCCCCCTTAGCGAATGGTCTTTCTGTGACAGTAACACATTGTGATTTCCTGGCCTTTGCGGGGGCGGGGAGGGGGCGCCTTAGCGTGAGAAAGCTCAGAAGAGAGGAGGAGACCGCACAAGCAAGGGACTCGAGGCCGGCGTGCCTCCTGGGCACCCTCCCAGCCTCTGGCAGCGTAAGGCCCGAGGAACAGGGAGAGTGAGGCCCAAGAGAGCTTCCTCTTTGTCCCCCGTGGTGGGGGCCGGGTGAGGGCTGAGGGGAAGTTCAGGGCTCCACCACCCCAGGGAAAATTTTGTGAACTTCAATTTCGTCTAAGCCACAGTGGGCACTTAGGGAGGGGTAGGTCCCACGCTATGCATTTTTGGGAGACACAATGCTCATCAAAGGGAAGTTTGGTAGCCCAAGAAGAGTCCCCAACAGACACCCCAATACAGACAAGCAGCTGCACAGCCTCCCAGGAATCCGATTGTCCGAGGCAAACAGCAAGCCCGGTGAAAGGGTTTAATAGGTCTGGGCACCCCTAGGCACAAGCACTGTTGAGAGTCGGAGCCAAGGCGACTGCCCTTAAGGCTGAAACCTACCCGGGACTCACGCAGGGGGGGTGGGGGGGGGGCGGTCGGGGGCGAGACTTCGTCAAACTCAGCTCCAGACAGATAGGCCGCCCTGTACAGCAGCTGGCCCGGGGGAGCTAAATGCCACCAACCCCCCAATCCGGAGACCATGCTTGTCGCGTGGCTCTAAAATGCCTCCCTTCCCCGCCCCTGGGCCAAGTCTTCCCGCTCTTGGATGGGGGTAGCTAGGGCGGGGGCTCGGCCGCGACCCTCCGGCCCCGGCGGGAAGCA